CAGCAGCATATGACATGGCTGCAATAGAGTATCGTGGACTTAATGCTGTTACAAACTTTGACCTAAGCCGTTACATCAAATGGCTACGTCCCAATGACCAAAATAATGTTAATAATCCTCAACAAAACCCTAATGATGATGCGGACCCTATACAAAACCTTGATCAAGAGATTGGATTGGATTTCATATCCCAACAACAAAGTTCGAGTGTTAATGAGACAGAAGTGGCTGATCCAACAAGGTCTAGTGACACTGGTGGCTCGGCATCATCAGCATTAGGGCTTTTGTTGCAATCCTCGAAGTTCAAGGAAATGTTGGAGAGAACATCGGCAGCTGATTGCCCTTTGACCCCGCCCGAGTCCGATCGTGATCCACCGCGTCGGAGCTTCCCAGATTACATCCAAACTTTCTTTGATTGCCAAGACTCCAGTAGCTACACAGACAGTGATGACATTATTTTCGGTGACCTAAATTCATTTGCTTCTCCGATTTTTCATTGCGAATTGGATGGATAGAAAATGGTACTTAATTGGCACAAATAAGTCTATCCTTACGGTATAAATATCTTTGGTTTTGTTAATATGAAGGCAAGGATGATGACGAGGGGAAGATGGATGATGATGATGATGAACAAGGGTAAGGTCAAAGAGTAAAATTCAGATTTTTCTTAGGCACATGCTTCTCTTCTTGGATTAAAATTTGGAAAGAGAGTTTGCTAATTTTTATTGTTTCATTTACATGTAGATATAGATAAAGTTAGACATTCGTTTATCAATATTTCGATTAATAAGAAAAATTTGGCAAGTTTTGGCCTCATTTTTTTCCTTCTATTTGAATATATATATATATATATATCAACTTCTGATCACATGGTTTCCTGTCTTGGATTTTCTATTAGAGTTATATTTTCTGATAGAATTTGTAAATAGTAGTTTTCATATACTACGTATGCAATTTATTAATAATAAGGTGAAATCATGTCGAAAAGGATATCATATTATATATTAAAATGATATATCATGGCCTTCGTGACATATATATAGATGTGTGATTAATTGCTTATATATATAAAGAATTGTGTTATGATAGGAGAAATAATGTTCTAGTGATAAAGAAATATAAATTAAGATTGAGACTCTAGAAGTTGTACTGCCTTGAATCAAAAGTTTGAATACAACTTTTTAATGGTATAAATAAGTTTTATATTGTTAAAGCTCTTGAGTTTCATACTTCCATTTAACAATATACTACCCATGGCTTAAGATTAAATGCACAAGTCACCTTATAAATTAATTTTGTTTGGGGTTGATTTTTAGTTTTTTTCAACTTTAGAAAAAATTCAATATTAAATTTCACCATCAAAATTTCGAAAATGTTTCTTAAAAGATATATTGTTGTTTCAAATCTAGCCACAGTAATTAAATGAAACAAAACATAAAAATAAAATTTGTTTTTACAAATAAATTCCATAAACTTTCTGTTAAAAATAACATAAAATAGCTACATTAATACCTTTTTGAACTCTATACAGTATCGAACTTTTACAAAACCCAATAGCTTAGTAAAGATTTTAGAGTTTAAGTCAATTGACAAACTCTAAAGAATGAATTGTAAATAAAGAAAGTGTTAAAAAACATATCTCATGTTTAATAGTTAGATAAAAAATTAGAAATATGAAAAATTGAAAAGAAGTCATTCATTATAAAATTTAAGTTTTTTTTTTTTATGTAACTTAATCTTAAATAATAAACTGAAAAATCATTAATTTTTTTTTTAATCAATTGAGAAGTAGAAATGTTAACTGATAGAAAGGACTACTTAATGATGGGTTGATCTGGATTTTTTATTTTTCCTATCAGAAAAATGCAATAAGTCATTGTGAGTATCATGTTGAATTAGTGAAGTTGAATTCATCATTATACACTGACTTCCTCTTATCTTTCTTTCATGATTCTTTAATTGAATTGAATAAGGTATTTAACCAGAGATTATATGGCAGGAAGTCGTTAGCAAGATCCATGAAAATGACATTTTAATCAATCAAAACAGGCAAATCCAAGATGGAAAATACTGTTCCCAAAATTAGAGTGGACCACAAATATAATGTGTACTATCCGACACATTGTTCGTTAGAAGTTGAAGTTGGAATTTAGAGAACCATCTTTTTCTCCTAACTTTTTAATTGTCTTTAAAGGATTCGTAGGTACTAACCGTAAGAGACTCCTACAGCCTATCATGCTTAGGGCTTCGAAGTTTAGGGGCTATGTCCTTGATTGATTAGGCAAGAGATAGAAGAAAAGATTTTATGAGGATTTTTGACTTTTTATTTGATTGGGGGAGTTAAATCAATTTGGTATTAGGCACCGAAAGCAGTACTTTGGGCCTGGAAAAATAGATCATCAGATTAACCACTACTATATTGACAAATTCTACGTCATGTAATGGGATTTGTTCGGCTATATAGTTGACTTGTGTTGTAAGTATTGGCTGGGCAAGAAGTGGATAGGTTATGGGTGAAAAATTACTATTAATTACTTAGTCGCCATGGATTGCATTTGAGGCTCATGCTGCTCAAATTGGAACGTATGCCCTTAATTCTACCCAAATCAAGCTCTTTAATTTAGGAAAATAAAAATCATTCTTGTAAGTTATTAAAGGTTTTTTTTACTAAACAATCATAAGTTCAAATTCAACTAAACTTGTATACTTATTTATGTAGATTTGATGTTTAAAAATTTTGGCAAAAAAAGTCAAACTTCTCTTGAATTTTAATTCATTTAAAAATTATATTTTGAACTTTTAATTTGTGTTTTGAATTTTTTGACTTTTTTTTTTTTCATCCTATAATTTTCAGTTATCATCCCTTCATTTAAAATTTTTTAATTTCTGGTCTAAGATTTCGTTCAAGTATTGAGAATTACAATTGTCTTTTTTAACGTTAATTATATACCAAATAAAAAATAATCTTAAATAATCTCAAATTTTTTGAAGAGCTTTAAATAAATTTCACTGAAAGATTTTTATTATGAACTTATTTATGTAATTATCATTGTTTTGAAATAAATGAAAAAAAAAGATGCATTAAATCTTAAAAAAATCAAGAAGATCAAAAAAATAAATTAAAAAATTAAAAATTGATTTTCATTAGAGACATTTGGCCTTTTTAGTTAAAGAATTTTTGCTCGACATCGCCTTGGGACAAGGGAAATGGCAGTTTTGAGTAAATTCTGGAAAAACTATAAATTGATAAAGCCCATCTGCAATTTAGTTACCAAATTTCAAATTGTGGCCCATTTGCCATATGTGCTTTGTTTGCGTTTTCCTCTTTCAATTACTTAAATTGTAAAAAATAAGCCCCCAACTTCTCATTTTCTCAAGCTAAGTCCTAAACCTTTAATTCCTAACGTACAATTGGTCCAATTTCTGTTATTCCTGCTTCAGGATGAAATACGTAATATCCTATAGTTGTCTTAACTATTGGCTAGGCAATAAGGGGATAGCTTATGGGTGAAATATTACTAGTTATTACTCAATAGCCATGGATTGCATTTCGGTTTATGGTGTGCAAGTTAGAATGTATGCATTTAATTCTGCCCAAACCAAGCTCTTTAATTTAGGAAAATAAAATCATTCTTGTATGTTATTAGAGTTTTTTTATCAAATAATTATAAGTTCGAATTCTACTAGCATGTTTATGTATTTAGGTTCGATGCATAAAAAATTTGGCTAAAAGAACCAAACCTCCTTTGAACTCTAATTCATTTGAAAATTATTTTTCAAACTTTTAATTCTTATTTTGATTTTTTAACTTTTTTTTTTAATTTAAATTATCTTATAACTTTCAGTTATCACCTCTCTCTTTTTTTTAAAAAAAAAAAATATTGGTATTTTGATATGAAATTTTTTATAGGCATTGAGAATTACATTTGTTTTTTTTTTTAATATTAAAAATATAAAAAATAAAAAAAAATAAACAATAACTCAGAATGATCTTAAATTTTTTTAAAGAGTTCCAAATAAATCTTATTGAATGATTTTTATGATAAAACTATTTATGTAATTGTTATTGCATTTGATAAATGATAAAAAATTGAATGATAAATTAAATTTTTAAAAAATATATATTCAAAAAGATTAAAAATAAAAAATAAAAAATTCAAATATTATTTTTTGAAATAGATTAAAATTTTGGAAAGATTTGACCCTTTTAGTTAAAGAATTTTTACCCAAGAGACTAATCATTGATTATTTTTTAACGAGGAGCAGGACGAACTACCCAATCTAGAAGAACTGTAGGTAAAATTGTCGTATGAGGTTAACGACAATCGACAGGGGAAATGACATTCTGACCCCTTAAATATAAAAAGACAAATATGCTATCCAGCATCCAGTATACACTACCGGTCCACCACCTGGAAAGAAACTATCAAGTGATTTGGCCCCATTTGAAATTTAGTAACCAAATTTTAAATTGTGCCCCATTTGCAATATCCTATTTGTTTGCCTTTTTACTCTTCCAATTGCTTAAATTGTTAAAACTAAGCCCCCAACTCTTCATTTTCTCTAGCTAAGTCCTAATCGTTTATACGTTATTCCTGTCTCAATATTAAATATGAAAATATCCTATAGACTATAGTTGCCTTAACTATATACAACAATTTTCACAATCTTGATATATGTGTGTGTGTGTAGAAATATTTTCTCCATGACGGCCTTTTATACTAAATGGGGATCTTGGAAAGTTATGGAGTTAGAGAAGGATCGAGGCGCTCTAGTTACTACTGAGTTTTTTTTCATCAAGAAATATTAGTGCATGTTGTTTACATTAATGCCTGGTGTGCATGCACATAATTTAATTGCTAGACATCAAAAATTAAATGGAATGTACATTGAAATCTGAAGGCTTCAATTATATCAAGAGTTCATCAGATTGTTCACTAGCTAACTATCGCTACGCCTTACAAAACATCAACTCTTGTCAGTTATGCTTTTGTCGGAATCTAAAGCACCTGCAAGAAGCAAAAAATGGGAACTAAATATTTTGAGAGGTTGAACAGCAACAAGATGTTGTCGTTACACTGAGCAACAAAGTTTGGTGTCGATGGATGCTAAACATATGCAAAATGCTTGGTAACCTGTTAGAGGATATCTGCGAGTGAAAGATAAAGAGTGTCATCTATTTTGTTCAATTTCCTCCATAATGAGAAGATAAAAACTTCTCCAAGTGTTTCGAGGTATATTCAAAACTCCATCTCTGGAAAGAAATGGATCTGCATATATAGTTTGTACCTGAAATCCATAACAAACTTTGCCTTCCCTATCCTTCCCAGCTGTAAAATCGTCTGCTTTTCGTTTTCCTGCAAAAATCGCATGCTGTCAGAATCCAGACACACAGGACATGGATGTACTTTACGATGATTTGTTCCAACATGTAATTATCAAGACCAAATTCATGATACCTCCAATGTGAGCTGGAAGTTCTTCACCGAGCTTTGGATTCTAAGCCCAGCTCTTCCTCTGTCTCTGAAGTCTAACTCGTACTGCTTTGACATCTGAAAAATTGAAAGAAATGAAATCAATGAGAAAAAATGAAGTCCAAAAGTTCATCTTCTATAATGCACAATAAACAATCTGTACTCTCACATTATTGTATCGTGGAGTCCTTGAACATAGCTTATGTACTTTGTCCATTTTTCCCTCCCAGTCCTTGGCCAAACCATTAATATGCTGCATCTACCACAGACGAAGAAAGAAATGATTATCCCATTTCACAACGCTTCATATATTATTGAAAAATAGTGAGATGAGAATGTCACAACAGAATTCCAAATATATGTGTTCACATTCATATAGAGGTGAGGACCCGTGACATTTCAGAATCTCCCGAACTCACCTGGGTTGTATTCTTTAGCTGCATGGATTGGTGTTTTGGTAGATATGCCCTCATGCTTCTGTAACTTCCGGTCCAAGTGGCTATTGTAGGCATGAACCTACAGAAACAGAGGAGATAAATAACAACCAGATGAGAGAAAACAGAATACAGAAAGTGAGCTAGAGAGAGGGTATGCCTTACGTAACAACAGCCAGAAGTGGATTACTCCTTTTGGAGTTGACATTGCCACCCTTCAATCAAACACATCGCCAGCCATTTCAGTCAACAGAACATCAAACAGGTCATTGTGCTAATTGATTTAGGAGATTTAGGAATATCTGATATCTTAGAAACTACAGGTAAGGTAATCCGGTAAATTTGCAAGGTCTAAGGAATTGAACCTGATCCCAAATGTGGTACTTGGAACCTATGAGGTTTGCTGTTACATTTCCGACAAAGCCATCATCTGAACTAGACAAAACTCCCTTCAAATTCTGAGCTATGGTGAACTCTGTCTTTCCATTATGCCGTTTATGGTGAGCTACAGCTAGTTTCCGGTCCTGTCGTCCCTGTCCTTCCTGTAGTTTTGATATCCAAAATCAAAGTTCCAAGTGTGAAATTTTAATCGCAGTGTTACTTTGGTAGTCTCAAACAGAAGTAATTAGTCTCGGTTTGTTTATAATTATGGCAGCCTTGCGCCACCCAAATAAGAACACAAACATAGTTCTCCAAATTCGCTATGCATTGCAGATGCTATATTTGTGTAACAGGTACAAGTAGTTAACCAGGTATGCAGAAGCTATAAATCCCAAATCGTTAACAAGATAATATCTTACTTCTCCGGTTTGAAAAATTAAAACATCTCAATATCAATGTTTTTGCAGAATTGTAATACTCCTCATCTAGCAATTCAAATCAGAATTAGTAGACTTGATAATTTAACTTTCTCTTCATCATATAGACTGCTCTATCCACTTGCAATTGCCTGCCAATAACATCACAGATAACTGACAGAAGTATATGATGTGCATACTGCTGTTGAAGAAAACACTCAGCACAGACCATCAAACACACCAACTCGGAACACATCTAGTACCGTTAGTAATACACTATTGTTGAAATGTTTTAGGGTCCAGTCTATTCATGAGTTGGTATAATGAGGAGAGTTTTATCAGTTTAAATCAATCTGTTGCTTCAGAAAATGGAGAAAAGGGCAAAATCTTTTTCAACCGAACTAAGGTGATCAGTTTCAATCAATTGCCACTTACAATCTCTAATCCTCAGCCTTCTATCAAGATCCAATCAAACTAGTCCTCCATTTGGGAGCGTTGCACAGCAGATGTTGTGCAGCCCCTTGAAGCTTACATGATGCTTTCGAGACTGCACAGTACTTGCTATGCAGCAATCCCAAACAAAGCTTAAATCTTGTTGGGCTTAATGGCTCATATTTCTTAGAGTAATAATCAAGTAAATAGAGCGGAGCAGCCTCCGAGTTTTGTAAACTTGGTCACCAAGTTTGTTCCTTTCTTGTCCACAAGGATTTATAATAGCCAAAATCCTTGGTGGACAGAGAAAAAATAAACTTGGTGACCAAGTTTACAAAACTTAAAAAGGCTACTCTACTCTTTCTTGAAGGTTATTCCACTCTTTGATCGTTACTCTACTCTATTTATTTGGTCATTACTCCAAACTATATGCCATAAACCCAACAAGTCTTTGTCCCAAACTAGTCAGATCGGGCTATAATTTCTCTCTATTTTATTTGTTTTGAGCCAAACTTTCACTTTCCAAGACTACTGTAATAGCAAGTTCTTTTCACTACGTCAACCTCTATCTCTTTTCTATACTCGAGTGTTATTGGAAATAACTGAAATTACTAGATTTATGTTTAAACACAATTTACAATGACTTTGCATGACATCCTTCACTAGTATTATAGTTGTAGAATACTCCATACCATGTTCTTGAGAAGCTCTTCCATATTCTGTTTGTTTTGGACAACCTTTTATGAAATACAACTACATCTCAACTGTTGGTGATATGGCTCATTTTCTTGGAGTAGCAGCTAGGAAAATTGATGTAATGAACAAGAAAGAGTGGAGTGGCCACCGGGTTTGTTCTTTCCTAAAACTCACCAATTTTTTGGCTGTTATAAATAGATGAGAAGAATAGTGGTTTCAGGTGGTGCAAAAACACCATGGTTGAGAGGTTTCTATGGGTGAGAGTGGATGTAAAGGGGGTTTGAGAATGTTTTGGACATAAAAACACAATGATATTATTGTACTAATTTTTTCTTTAAGTAAACAAGCATTGCTCTCGGACATAGTAGCCAAACCTTGGAGGCCAAAGAGAAATAGACAAACAATTCAACAATTTTATAGTTACCCCACTCTCTTTTGTCCATCTTTCCTTAGCCATTACTCCAAAATAAATAAATAAATAAAATGATCGCATTACTAACAGAATGCCCTTAGAAGTTGACATAATTACACTATGTTAGTGCTAAGGGAAGCCGTTGTCGCAGCTGTCCTATTTAGACTGCCTATGACCCGCATATGTTAGTAGAATTCAGTAACATGTGTGGCTTATGGACAACCAAATAGACTGTTTGCGACAAGGCAACTTCCGCTAACATTTCTTTTTAGGCTAAATCGACACTAACACATTAAATGATTACAAATTCGACAAGTTTGGGTCAACTTTGCTACGAATCAACATTTCAAATGGTGAGCTTTCACCAAATGGTTATCAAATCTTAACAAATCTGACCTAACTGGTTTGGATTTATAGAGCATAGAATGGTTAATCTACAGGTTCTTTTTAGAATGTTTAAATAGAATATTTCCCTTGTTCTTCAAGTAATGAAAATAGATTGTGCAAATCAACTCACGTACATTGGACTGTATCAAACATACGAGTTCTGTGTTCATCATAAAATTTAATTTAACTCCATACAAGTTTCGTGTACTAATAATGTTTGGTTTGCCAATGGTAAAATTAGAATTTCCGAAGAAACGAGGTATTATATTTAGATAAAATATGTGAAGAGGCAAAAGCACATGCGACGACGGTCCTACCTAGACTATCCATGACTCACACATGCTGGTGGGTTCCACACTTTGGGAGACACAGACAGCTAGATGTGGCAGCCCTTAGCACCAGCCATTGTATTATATCTACCTTTCTTTGGTGATATTAAGATTATACAACGATTAGAGTTGATTTCAGATAAAATTAAAATATAAATCTTATTGAAATCAGAACAGGAATCTTATTCCTATTCCATTCCAGATCCTAACGGAACCAAATGCCATGAAAGAGACTGACTCTAAAATCGAACTTCAATGGGAAATCTGGCAACATTAGTTCAAAACATTATCATCCATTCATACGAGAGAAGCTCAAACTATTCATAAGTACGATAACAGCTTACATTGGTATAAAGCGAGTACAAAGTACCCCCATCTAACCCTTTTGGCAATGCTTCCTTCATAATAACACAAGTACATCTTCCTATGTCCAGAGGCAATGGCCTGCACAATAATGCCCTGAAACCACACCCACATTACTAAATTTATGTATCAAAACCAAACCTGAACAGAAACATGAATAGATATATATATATATATATATATAAAAGACCTGTTGGGCAATGTAGACCAAGAAGAAGCTGGAGCAGCCTCGGAATCGGAATAGTCCCAAATATTTACAGAATTTGACTTCTCAGACTCAACAGAGTCCCAAATTCCAGATTTAAAAACCTTTTCAGGCTCATTCATTTGCATACACAACTGTAAAGAAGAAGGCTTTAACACTCTGCTCGTGGACAAAGACTTCATATTGGATAACTGTGGCTTTGGCAAAACGGAGAGAGACCCATTTGAAGACAAAGGTTTTAAGCTGTTGGGCACTGCATTTTCTTTGTCAACACCACCAAGCATGGTAGTGTTAATGTTCTCTTTGTTGTCGGTGAAAACTTTTGTAATGAGGTCACCTTCACTGCAAGTATGATGGTGTTTGGACTCAGTGAGGGGATTTACATAAACGGAGTTGTATGAAGATTGATTTAGCAACGGGGGTTTCTTGAAACCAGCCATATTCTGGTATAGAAACAAAGAAAGATTCGATCTTCGTTAGTTTTGAGAGGGTTTAAAGTTGAGTCTTTAATGGGAGTGGATTTGAATTCTGAATGTTGGTTTGTTTTGGGAAAGACTTATATAGCTGGGATTCTTTGGTTTTCTTGGAAACTGTGAGAGATTTGAATGAAGTTGCAAATGGGAGGAAGGATCTTCAATGAGCTGAAATATAGTACTCTACTAGCAGCCTATATTTTGGTTTCCAAAGATTTTGGCTTTTATAGTAAAAATTTAGTTTCTGTCACTTCATGGTTTTTTGGTGCTTAATTTAAAGTCTTATATGATGTAGCAAGATCAGATTGGGTGAATTTTGAACTTGGGGTTTGGGTTTTGTTGAGTCCAGACAATTGATTTGGTTGTTTGATGTAATTTATGGTCTGAAAACAGGATTTGAATTTGAAAAGGCATAGATAACTGTGCAGAGGGATTTTGGATTTTGATGTGGTTTGGTTTAGTGGGTTTAACGGTAACTATTTGAATATGTTGTCTGTGTCCTAGACCGGGACTGTGTAGATTTTTGAGGTTTGACTAAATAAAAGAGATGAGAAGCGGGACCTGTCAATGTTTGAAGTGCGAGCCAACAAGATTTAAATTTGCCGATGCTAAGAGAATTTTAGATGTTGGTCACGACTTGGGTTTCACATATAGGGCAGGACTTGGATTCGGGATTTTATAGAAATGCGGATTCATCTTCTTCATAAATATAATCCCATTCCCTTTCCTTCTAGGTTAGATAGAATATAAAAAGGACATTTTCTGAAAATTTTATAATCTGAACGTCACATGTTCTCATTAAATAGGTAATTGTTTAATTTTAGTTTTGAATTTGACCTTACCAAACTATGTTTCATTTGAAATCACGTCATTGTACTAGTTTTTTTTTTTTTTAAAAAGATTTTTTTGGAGTTTCATTCATAAGAATTGTTGTATGTGAAAATCATAAGACCATTACAGAATAAATTGGGTTTTCAATTGTATTTTTTCCTTTTATGGTATGTATTTTTGCTATTTTTTATTTTTATTGAATAAAATATTGTTTTTATAGCAATCGGCTGATTTTTATATGCAATATCTTTTTAATTATGGATGAAATCCTACAAAAACTAATAAAGGATTTGAATTTAAATAGAACATAATCTAAAAAGGTCAAATATGAAATATAAATTAAGTTACTAATTAGAAAATCAGTTATATTTAAAATATATATATATAGTGCCCGTGTAACCTAGTTTATATTCTAACTGTATTTGAAATTTTAGAGTACCTCAAGATAATTGTTATTTTATATGAGATAAATAGATACATAGAGAAGAGAAACAAAACAGAAAAATTTTAAAAATATATTTTTGAGTTTAGATGGAAATAAAGAATTTTTAAAATACTCACGAAGTAACTAATGATACTTATTCTAGATTTATTTTGATGAAAGAGATAAAAAAAATTAAGAAATCACATCGATACTCGTTAAAAGCGATAAGAATATTTCTATAGAAGCTTAATTTTTTTTTTCATTTTTATATTTATGTTTTCTCTTTATATCTATTTTTATCTTATGTAATAAGTATTTTTAGTTATTTCATGAGTAATATAAAATTTCTCGTGAAGATATTCTTATTACTTTTAATTGACCATTATGTGATTTTCTATTATGTATTTATAAATGTTTCTCACCTCAAAATAAATGCATAAAATAAATCTTAAATATTAATAGTTATTTTTAGAGTATTTTTAAAAAATTGTATCGATGGGTTACTTTTAGAGAGACCAAAAAATGTATTTAACTTTGATGCATGAGATCAATCCAAATAAATGCAATACCTTAAAAAGTAATTACTAAGACTTAAAAAGGTATATATATATATATATATATATATAGACGCACACATTCTAGTTCACTTCTATCTTCTTCAATTATTCAACTCATTCAAGTCATTTTTATTCAAAAAGTCCATTTAATTTAAAAAATGTTATTAAACAATGCCAATAATATACAAGTATTGTTCTAACAGTAAAGAAAAATGTCTAGAGGCCACAAAATTTTTATTTAAATAAATTGAAAAGGTCTCATTGGTAGCTTCGTACTCTTAGAAACGATGAGACTACAAGTTGAAATTTTCATTTCTCAAATTTATGGAAACAATAATCAAAGTCTTCAACCAATATATGTGGACAAATTTTATGGTAATAAAAGGTAATTACTAAGACTTATTCCATATAAGAGAGATAAATGCAACAAAAAAAAAAGGGAGAAATTTAAAAAAAAATTGAGTTTATGTGAAAATATTCTTATCATTTTTCATGAGCTTAGATGTGATTTTTTATTTTTTTTATTTTTATTTTTTATTTTTTATTTATCTATTATTCACCTCAAAATTGACCTATATAATAAGTATTCATAGATACTCATTAAGTATTTTAAATTTTATCTTACTTGGAAGCAAACTCTTAATTTTAAGCAAATCTTAATTTGTTTTCTAAGATTTATATGATGTCCCAGTTTCACCTAAAATTTTTTATTTGTTTCAATCAGATCTCATATCCATCATATTTGTTCTATTTTTTTTATTTCCATTTATTTTTGTTAGAAATAGTAACAAAGAATGTGCATAAATTTTAATTATATCTTCAAAATTAATAAAATATCTTAATAGAACCCAAAAGGTAATAATGAACAAATTGAAATTAAAAAAAAAATTAAAAAAAGACTATTTGTTAGTAAAACAAATATGATTAAAAAAAGAGGATTTTTTTTTTCAATCAACACTATGTACCAATCATCTGACAATACAAGAATAATATTAAGCAAATATATATATATAACAACAACATCAACCACCGTTATTGTTATTTCTCCTCTGGTCCTTCGCTAGCATATTATATCTCTATATTCTATTCAATCTCCAAAATCTGTTATAAAATTTTAATCAAGAATTCTGAAAAAAAAAAAAAAAAACTCCATATGTTTGGAATCATAGAATATGGATAGGACAAGTTAGACATCTCCTATGGTAAAATTTATTTGAATTTTTATTCTTATTTAACTGTACTCTTGACAATAAAAAAAATAACGTTGATAAGTGAGAATTGAAGCTGGTAAAATTGAGATTTTTGATGAAAAACTAAACTTTTCGAGTTTTATCATGTTTGTTTTACTAAAAAAAAAAAAAAATATCTTTGTCAACCTTTCTATCTTTGTTGTTGTTAATTTCAATTCTTTTTTTTTACTTTACTTTTTAGGTGATATTGAGATATTTTATAAATTTCAGAAAAACAGTTAAAATTTATACATGTTTTCAATTAGTATTCCTGAAGATAATGGACAGAAAGGGAGGAATTAGAGCAAAAATGAAAGATTTGGGGCTGATTGGAATAATAATGAAAGACACGAGGGCTAATTGAGACAAAATAAAAATTTTAGGTGAAATTAAGACAAAATATAAACTTCAAGAGAACAAATTAAAATTTACTCCCTTATTTCTTATGGAAGGAGGTGGAAATTTTTTTTTTTTTAAGGTTAAAATTACATTCAATTACAAATCCATTATCTAAGATTATCACTAAATCATAACATTTGCCTTGAACTTTAAATTCAACTAAAATTTTTAATAAATTCACCACAAATCAACCATGACCATGATTTTCTTTTTGCTTCCTTCTTATTTCAAGGGAACGATGCAAGAAAGAATTTCCTCATAAATGCATCAATTTGGATAGGAGCAGCTTGTCTTAAAGTGAATCAAAATATTTTTTTTAAGAATGGATCTTAAAAAGCAACTATATATCAAAAAAAAAAAAAAAACCAGAAAAAAGAATCAGACGCTTGTCTTTCGTTTTGGATAAATAGCTAGAAATTGAGTGGTAATCGCTTCCAGTTGTCAATTTGCTTCTTCAATATTATCAGTCACCATGGCCCCAAAACAATCACCATCCCTCTATTGCGCTACTAATAAACCCACCATCATCACCAAAACACATGGCCGCCCACACACTCACTACTAGCACTACTCTCTTTAACTCCTCTCTCATTCAACCCAATTCAAAGTTCAAATTTTTTAACACTAAAACCATTACTAGGATTCAAACTTTAGCTATGGCCACAGCCCCGACTGATGCCAAGGTGGCCCCAGCCGTAATTGTTGGTGGTGGAAGGGTGGGAAGGGCCTTACAAGAAATGGGTAGTGTTCAGGATTTGCTGGTGAAGAGAGGAGAACCTGTGCCACTTGATTTTGAGGGTCCCATTTTGGTTTGTACAAGAAACGATGATCTTGATGCTGTTCTTGAAGTTACACCCAAGTCTAGATGGAGCGGTACCAATACCTGATTATACGTTACTGTTTTGCTTTATAAAAATGGTTACAAAGCAATTTGTTTTTGTTTTTAGTTTGTTGATTGAATTATGCTATTGTATGTTCTAATTGAATTGAATGGTATATAGGATTGTTCTGTTTGATTGAATTGGAAGTTATAGGTTAATATCTGTTAAACTTTTGAATTGCTTAAATTTTGATGTCAAAGGAAAAAAAAAGAACAGTGGAGAAAAAAATTCAGTGTTTGTTTCATTAATGTTGTTGGATTATGTTATTATGAAATTATTTGAGCTGAAAGTTTGGATTTTTTAATCTTTGATATGCATTTTATGGCTTCTGATAAATGGTAGTGAAGGATTGAGTGGATGCTGACAATCTAGCAGATTTGGTTTTTTTCCAGAATGGGATGCTGGAGCCTTGGTTTCAAAGTAAAGGTCTTGGTGATGCAGACCAAGTGCTGGCATATTTTGCTGTATCAAAGCTCGGAGAACCTCCTACTGATGGAAAGACTGATACCAATCCTGAAGGATTGACTGCAGCATATGGGAAATGGGCATCTGCAGTAGCTGCTAGATTGCATGCTGGAGGGCTATCCTGTAAGGTAAAGGAAGTTTCTTAATCTTCATCTGATTGAAACTGTTATATGGGGTTTCTTTAGGCTCTCAAAAACAAAAGAAAGAGAGGCACTCTGTTAAGATGAGGGTTGTGGTGGTATTTGGAGTGGAGTTTGACACAAAAAAAGGTCAGAGCCTCAGGTTTAACTCTGTAATCCAACGATATCGTATATAACAGGCAAGGTTGGCACTTTGATGGGGTGGGTGTTCTGGGGTTCTTTTCATTTTTCTTTTTTTCAATTGCTAAATTTAGTCTAATGTTCCTCTCTTTCCCCGTTATATTCAGAATTGTGGGATTCACTTTCTGATATTAGTCTAGCATAATTACATTTTTATTCATTGTTGCAATCAGGTTCTTGACAAGGAAGGTTTTCAGAAGCAAATGTTAGAGAAGCTGATCTGGATTTCGGCATTCATGCTTGTTGGAGCTCGTCATCCAGGAGCAACTGTTGGTGTTGTGGAGAAAGAATTCCGCTCTGAGGTAAAGCTGGATGTCTATTTAAAGCATCAGAGTTTGAGTTACTGCATATCTTTTGCTAATGTTTATAGTTTATACTTAGATCAATTAATTTGTTTCAATCATTATTTATTCTTTGAATGCCTTCATTTTATTGCAGCTAATCCAGTTTCTGCTTGACGCTAGTTAGTAAATCCCATGCCTTATTAGTGCTATTTCTTTATGCTTTGCGGACTTTAAGATATAAATCAATTCAATGATATAACTGTGAAACTAGGTATTTTTAGCACACCATTTTTCTATTTTCTATGTGGTGTGCATATCTAAGCAATTCATGCTCCAACAACTTGGCAAAGAGCCCTTTCCTTTCAGCCATTCGTGAAGCTTCACAAGATTATGATTGTCAAATTATTGAAATTGTTCTCGCACAATAAAATCTCTAACATGAATAGATCTGATCGATACTGATATTTGTGTTTCCAGGTGTCTAGCCTTATTGCAGAACTTGCTTCTGCAGCAGCGGCAGAAAAAGGAATAGCATTTGAAGAAGCTATTGAGGAAAGATTATGCGCTTATGCACGCGCTGTTGCCCACTTCCCAACAGCTGTTAAGGAGGTACATGTTTCTCTTAGCCTTAGCTCTTTAAGCATTTAGCATAATTTTATCAATTCTGATTTAGTTGGTGATGCTAAGTATGATACATATATGTTGGTTAAGGGGTCTTGAGCCTACTTAGACCTAATAGTGGAGGCTCAACGGAGGATGAATTTTACCTTATTTTGTAGTACTTCAATTGAAAAAATAAAAAAATAAAAAAAATTGTAAGTTGCTTCTCACTTGGAAGTCTCAACTTTTTGCAGTTTAAATGGAGGAATGGCTGGTTCTACTCTCTCTCGGAGAAGGCAGCTGCTGAAGGGAAACCTGATCCTTGTCCCCTACACACAGCGTGGCTTAAAGAGCTAAATGTCGTCTAGGATATGAATTTTTACCGTCGATGGACTGGAATGCATGCTTCTCATGGTGAGCCTCTCTGAGGGACTCACTGTTTTCTTTCCGTTGTTTCTTTTTTGCTTCCAACTTTTCTCTTTTTTCTTTTTCCAAATTGACCTTGTCATGAAGTTCCCAAGTAAGCTTCTCGTTAGTATTACGACGTGAAATTACTTAAATAGTGAGAGAATGGGCCCCACCCCAAAGACAAAAGTATTAAAAAACAAAACACGATAAACACTCTATGTCTTTCAAAATTAGAGTAAATTATAAATTAGTTTCTAGTTTTGAAAAACAAATTAATTAATTCTTTCTGTCTTAAAAACTAATTATTTAATTATCATGTTCTCTAATTTTTTTTGTTTTCTGTTTTAAAAATAAAAAAAGATATTATAAATAAATTGACAAGAAAAAATTATTTTTTGTAAAAATAAGATAATATTCAATTAAATATGATTGATATTAATCACCAGATGGAATAATTAATTTTTAAAAACAAGAGAGATTAACTAATTCATTTCTTGAAATTAAGAGGATTAATTTATAATTTACTAGTCAAAACTAATCTTCTGTCTTTCTAAGTTCATCTTTTATCTTTTTCTTTTTTCTAAATAAAATAGCTCTCATTTAGTTTTAATTCATATTGTGGGCTCATAACATTGAACCTGAATTAAAGTAGGCAGCTTAAACTTTTCAGATTGAGGTTAAAAACCATTTTGTTTTGAATTGACAAAATCGATTGTAAAATTAAGAAAGAAATTCGGATTGAAATAATAATAATAAAAAAACAATAGTTTTTTTTTATTTTTTGGTCACCACCGTCAATTGAAGTGGTGCAAACACTCACTAGCAGCTGCTGCTGCCGCGTTTGATTTTATGTCGGTTTAGGGATTTGTTTTACCATATGATTTCTTCAAAAAAAGAAAAAGAACTATCAGCTATGCAATGATCAGATTTTACACTAGACCTGAAACAGAAGCTCGAAGTTTGGAGGATGTTATTCAATGCGTTCAAATTCGCAGAAACCTAAATGCAAGGCAGCAGCAGCATTCCCATACGTTTCCTGATTGATCACTTTGAAATAAATATAACAATCTCTAATAATCTGCATCATAACAGAGATCAATTTCAAACAGCGAAAAAATTCAAATTGTTCAAATGCACACAATAAGATAGCAATTTTGCTGAATTAATTTATGGAAACCCTGAGGGTGCTATGGTATAGGCGTCCACTTATCCTCAGCCACTTATGAATCAGATTTGGCCAGACAACGAAGGGATCGGTCAAATACTGAGCGCTAACTTTGCTTTGCTATTTCATTAACAACGGAAAACTGGGGAGCTATATCCACAGGCACCTGAAAGACACGGAAAATGGGCAAAACGATAAGTAACAAGTACGCATTCCTGAAAACAGCCCTGGTTTTAGACAGCCTAGCTATTTTAGGTAGAAACATGTGCAGTGGGAACTAGTAGGGTTTCACAGAACATACCTGAACACTCTCTAATTTTTCCAGTGCGTGTTTTAATGGCAGTGTCATTTTACAGTATTTCTGAAGCAGCAGATTTGCAGCCCCCTTGTCACCTTTTGCCTGTATGGTAAGTATCGCTCTACTCAAGCTTTCAACTGCCTCTTCAACCTTTCAAATTTAAACAGACTTTATGGTCTTATTCAGTCAGATAAATCCACGAACAAAGAAATTCAGAGCAACTATACCTTGGCAAAATCAACAGAAAATGTCTCATCGGAATGCAAAATGAAGGCTTCTTTCTCAAATAACCAGTTAAACTGCAGTGCTTGTCCTTTCCTAATGATTTTCAGTAGATCCAGAATCATTAAGATTATGACAAACATTGAGTCAGAGAAGAATGATTAATTAGCTTACCCATGAGCTTCCTCTAAACCAAAACGAACTGAGCGGAAGCATCCCGCGAGGAATGAAACATACATAGATTTTTCCAGGCTCTTTGGAAGCAAATCCTGAGAGAAAAAAAAAGTATCACGTAGTAAACCTTAAAATAAAATCATAATAATAGCCAATCACACACCAAAAAACTCAACCATTACCTAGTTATTATTATCCCACTAAAGTGGGGTCCTGGGAAATCAACTACAACTAGAATACTGATCAGACAGCTATAAAACTATTCAAAAATAAATCATTATAATTCTTCTGCCAAACATAGGTCACCATTTGGAAGATGCAATCCCAGGATTCTAGGAAAACATATTACGAGATTTCTTGATGTATCTGAAATACTTTAATGTACAGGCTGACTCAAGTCAAATTTGCATCAAACGCCCTTCTTATTTTTGATATGTTACAAGCAATAGGGTAAATCCACTACTTGAAACTGGCCGCACAAGCACTTGGCTCGATGAGGGCCTTGATTTTTTGGGAAGAGCCCATGCCTGATAGCCCACGGGTATTAGAAATTCACAAGCCATCCAAAGGCAAGACTTGAACCCAGGATGACCTCCCAATATCCTAAGCGAATTTTCAACCACCTGAGCTAACTATTTGGCGGGATTTTATTTAGCCTCTGACTGAAAATCCAGACTAGCTACTTGATGAACGCTTACAAATGTATTGTTGGATGAATTTGAATTCAGCATCTCTGACATGAATCTAAAGTGGCAGTGTGGCACACATATACTCATTGTTTATATGGAGCGGTATTAATTCTATTTAGTCACTAACCTGGCTGATTAAGAACTTAAGGGCCCAAAGGCCAACTATATCAGCTTTAGCTTCTTCCAAAGCTGAGTGGAGTTCTTGCAGCTCCTGCATTAAAATATAAAAGGAAAAGCATGGACAATCAGAGACGGTTTCTATCAGAATGCACATAAATTGAAACTACACAACAACTCTCTCAAATGGAAGTATTGTTCTCTTTCTTTTCCATTACACTTATTTTGAACAGGTAACTAGGTGAAATAATGGCCAAGTCCTGGGAAAGACCATGCAAGAGATATGCTATAAGATCACACCAACTCTATCACTTACAAAAATAATGGATTAAGGCAACTAAATCACAAAAGACGTAACTATGGAACTGGGAGAAATAATTAGTTAGATCATCACTTCCAGACACCTATATCTGAGAACATAGAAAGATCAAAGGAACTTTCAACAAGGCCACCACCTACAATGTCAAGGCCTAATAGACTACTCTTCAGGTACATCTCGACAATGGAAGATACATCTGAGGCAGAATTTCTACCAAATAAAAACGAAGAAAGGAATATTGAATAATAGACTATCACTGAGATTGTAGTAATTACATCAATCACACCTCTTCTTTTCAAAATTAAACAAGCCACCTTTTCGTTAAGGAGAAAAAACTCTAACTCACCAACACGAGCAGTTGGCACTCTTGATTGCAAGAAACAAGCATTCCACATTCACATGCATTCCCCATGTGCATAATGAAGCATCACAGAAATAACAAAGCTCCCAAGTTTTTGTTTCCCCCAAACCATCAAGCAGTATAAATTGAGGCTTATAAGTACTTTCTGTGAAGAAGGACTCAATATAAAAGCAAACTGTTTGGGATCAAACATAAGGTTGTAAAAACTAGAACATCAAATTGGAGGACTCAAGAAAGTGACCTAGAGTTTGCCACTGAAAGCTTTCTGCAAAGGCTGGTTTGCAATTGGTATGAGTTTTAGTAGTAGTAGGAGATGGATTAAAAGAACATGCCACAAAGCATAATTATGCAATATTTGTCTCATTTTAACGCAGTCAAACATGTGTAGAGGTTGAGATGCTTTCGGGTTATAAAATAGACAAAAGTAAGATCACAAAATGCAGGTACACAAGCGATACATTCCAGCAACCCATATTAATATATCCAGTTTAAATTTCTGATATATTGCTTCAGTTAATTATTATCCAATTAAAACTCACAATTGTATAAATCGAAAGTTGCTCTCCCATACTCAGCAGAAATAAAGACTTTACTAGGAGAAAATATTTTGAAGAAGAGTGTAGCTACGTATAAATGCCCAATCATCTAAAAGCATCTGAATGCAAGCCAATCCATAAATAATAGCAGTAGCATAAAAGAAAAGTTACGTAAATAACCTTTCTTACTGTAGACGTTTGCCCATCTGGAAGTGTGATAGTATGAGGCCCAATACCATGGCAGCACTCGTGGCAGATAGTGTGTGTAAAGAAAGATTCAAAATCTACCAGTCCTTTTTGTTCCTTGCTAATACATACTTGAGCTATGGGCTGAAGGATATGCTTGAACCTGATTAGGACAGGAATGTGATATTTAAATTATTTTCCAATGCTAATTATAAGATATTGTCAAAAAGCAACAAAATATAACAGGTTTAAAAATCAGGGAAAGAAATTATACTTTGCCTCTGAAACATTCTTAAGCATGACCATTGAAGTTCCTCGATCTTTTACTATACGTTCATCATTTGGTAAATTGAAAGCAACAGTCTGAGGACCCTTTACATCCTGGTGACAAATTAAAACCCATCAGCCTTAGTTCCACCCCAACCCACCACAAAAAAGGTTCATATATTTGAGGGTGGGGAGAAGTCAACTCCAGCAAAAGTTGGTCTTAATGGACTGACAGAATTTTAGGTCCCAGTCTTGTAAACGAGCTGGGTTCATGCCATAAAAGAAAGTACAAAAGAGTAAACAACAAAAATCATTAAACTTTTTCTTATATATATTCCTTGAACCTACCCCTGCGTTATAAACAAGCTGGATGACCCGAATGGGAGCGGCATTGACATGTTTTGATTTGTATGTGTTGTCCATTGGAAGATTTTGCTCCAAAAACTAAATAGATATACTCTTTTGTTAGAAAGTATGAATCTATAAAGAAAAGCTACAAGAAAATGAGGCACAATTTTGCATGTACAATGACTCAGTACCTGCAAATTATCACCAAAGAGTTTAAGTTGAGCTGTTGCTTTGTCATCACGGACACCAATGAATGCTTCAAATGTCGCCTGAGAAAACATAACAGAACTCATGAGTCATATATGCCACCTGAGAGATTATGAATCTGTCAGGAAAGAATTTAAGATCAAATCATCATAAATGGAGTTTAATTAATGGCCTCAATCTTACACTACACGGGAGGTCATTCAAGTGGAGAAAAATGCAGCTTTATGTAAATGTTACCTTGTACCCGAAAATTGTATCCTCATACGTCTCATATGGACCAATGGTAACATCCAGCTTAGAGTCCTACATGCACAAACAGATTAATAAACATTACGAATAGATGAGAATCCTAAGAATTTAAGCACCTTAACAGTAAAATGAAGATCTCACCCTTTCATTCATTTTGGAAAAACTCAAGTCAAATACAGTTGAAGTTATTAAAAGTAAAATATACAGCAACAACAATTATAGCTACATGAGAATAAAAATTTTGAAAATGAAGACTTCAATCGTTGAACCCTTTCTTTTTCATGTTATCACATAATTTGTTTATTTGGAAATGTAACGATCCAATTTCAAAAATTGTTGGTTTTCATCTTTCCATAGTACGTATAGATCACTTTTGTGCTTTATTCCTAGCCTACACTATTTCCTTTTTTCTAGAGGAACAAAAAGATAAATCAGGTACATTATGAAGACCACTAAGACCTCTACAATGTCGCCGAATAGCAGAAGGTTCCAAATTTCTTCAGTTCATACAAGCTTCCTTTGACCCACTCAACTGAAATCAACATTGAAAAAGAAGACCTTGGTAGACATGGAGAAAGACGACCTCAGTAGACTTCCAAGTGCCTCTCTTGCTCCTTTCCTAATTCCACCCTCTTCCTCACCAAAAAATGAGTCATATAATAATAAAGTCACAGTGCCCCTGATCGCCGCCATGATTCAGCATCCATTGATGGTGTGATTGTGGTGGGGGAGGCAAAGGTGCAGGCAGCAAGAAGGCATGCTAATATTTATATAAGGATCACACCCCCAAAATCATATCTCTTCTTCAGCATTGGAAAACTTGCTAATGCTAAACAATTTCTATAGAGCCCTTTATCCCAACTATAGTAGTGATGACAGGGGAAAAAAATAGATGCAATAGATGTCGTTCTTATCACCATATTCCTGAAACAAACACAATACGTAACTATGAGCGTTTTCTGGAATATCAAAAGTATTCTGGGTACTCACCAATTCCATCCAGGCTATATCAGATTCATAATAGTCATTTGAGAGGAATGAGTCAGCCTTGCTGTGCAGTAACCTCTTCAAACTACAAAGCACAACAAAGATTCAACAAACATCCATTAGCAGAATAGTATTCAGCATGATGAGAAGCAAATGAGTTATTGACAAAAAAAAATCTACTATAACTGTGTACCTAGGTGAGCCAGCCAAGTCCCCAGCTTCATGCAATAGTTCCGCAGCTTTTGAAAGATAGGAGTTATACTCCTTTGAGTAAGGAACACTATATAGATCAAGAGTACCTGCTAAATAATTTGTACCATGAACCACGTGACTAGGTAAAGAAGAGTCCAAACTCAATTCACTGTGTCTTTTGATGACAGTGAAAAAACTTGTTGCATCATTTTGTTGATTCTCTGGCAAACTGTCTGCCCACAATTCAAATTCCTATGACACAAGACAAACTTATTGTTACAGTAGGTGTAGAGGTAGAGAGATTTAAATGATGAAAAAAATACCAAACAATTGCATAGTCACAAAAATAGGATGTGGATCTTATTAAAAGTTTAACTTCTAATTGCATAATGAGCCTCCCATCCTATACCATTTTGTCCATATCTGGAGGATAAAAATTTGCACCAGGTGGTTTTAGAATGGGAAATGCTGCTTTATATTCCAGACCCTTCCATCCACTGACTGCCTTTGTTGCTTGAGGAAGCAACTTGATTGCTGAATCTGTGGTCGTTAAAAATGCCTCATTTTCATCAAGACAGGACCTGTCGATAAACAATAAATTCTCATTGATGGACATTTCTTATCAAAAATACAAAAATTTGGGGTATGGTGAATTTCCTAGCTTGTGCCAGCGCGCACACACATGCAGAGCTCAAAGGAGCAGCACCTAAAAAAAGAAAAGACTTACCATGGGCTCTTATTAATCAAATAATACATCCATTTTAGTTTGTCTAATTCTGATGCACCAGCATGCTCCTTCAACCAATCTCTGAGAGCTGGATTACTGTACCAAACCTGAGTAGAAGAGAGGGGGGGGGGAGGACAGAGGCACCACAAACAGTTAGTTACCGTTGCTAATTATTGGAAGCATCAATAGGATCATTGTATTGCATTTCCAAATAGACTAATCATCTGAATTTTGTAAGGAGAAACAAAAGATGTAAAGTTACGCAACAAGACATTCACATTTCTTATATGATGTCTCAGATACAAATATCGACTATTTCACACAGAGAAGATCCAATTGGAAAGAATTTGGGCAAGTTTGCAACATAGCATGAAATCAGCAAGAAACTACTGTTTCATTATGAGTACACGTGCAAAAATGTTTCATGAGTTAGTACTTTATGCAATGCCAAATCATTTCTTTAAGGCTTAAGCCAAAGTTTTTTCTTCTCAGTTACCTTCTGTGCACAATTGCCTAACAACACTCAAAGGCCTCAACCAGACCTTCCCATTGAGTAAATTACAGGACTTGTTTCCCAGCTTAGCTTTGTTTGCCATGATCACCTTTGGCCTCCCCCACCCCAAAAGAAAAGAAAAAAAGGAGGAGGATAATGTGGGATTCCAAGTTACCAATATGCATTACTTGGGCTAGAGAAAACTTTACTAACATATTGAGATCACAAAGCAAATTCCACTTTAATGGGGTATGTGCAGGGAATGTGCTTATATTCAAGCATGCACATGGAAAAACATATCTGTAAACCAGCAATTCTGCAGATTGTATGTGTCTTGTCCTTCTCATATGTGTGCATCCATGTAGATTAGCAAGGGTAAATACCTGAAGGGAGAAGATTTCATCCATAAATTTTGCAGCCTTGATAAGTAAACCAAGAGCCTTAATGTCTGCATCTGATAGACCTGTCAACTGAAGAAACAAAACAAAGAAAAAAAATACTGAATTCAATCCTATTTGCATTAAGAACAAACAAAAAACATTTAAGAAATAGTAATAGCAATAACAATACTAGCATTCTAGATATAAGAATGACAGAAGTAAAAGTGCTATTAATTTCTTTGTTTAGCAAAATTGAAGTACCATTAATCAAAAAAATATCTTAAATACAATATACCAGCAAAATGTACCTCTTCAAAGAAATTAAATCCATTAAGAAATTTTCAGTTAGCAAAATGTAACACAGGAACAAGTTGAAGCCACGAAAAATTTTAACTTAGCAACTTCATATATTCCCTTCACATCTACTTTGCCAATCATGTCCCATGTTCCACTTTCAGCCTAGCATTATTAATAGGAACAGACATTAGGTAACGGCTCTCGTATTTGTCTGGGACGATCAGTAACCATGGGATGTGAAGGTAGGAACTTCCTTTTCAATTGCATTCTGTCTTTGTTGTCTCTCAAATTGCAGAATCCCCCATTGCTAGTTTTCATACATAGATAGGACATGGGAGTTATATCTAGATGATGATGCATGGGTCAGATCCAATATGTGCCCTTCTTGATCACAATTGCTAAAGAGGCAGCCTCCAATTACTCGATAATTTCCACATATTCAGCTTTTTATAGGCCTAAAAAATCTTTCACAGACTGACCCCTTCCTTTTTACTGACAGTTTTTATCCTTTTCAGAAAGAAAGAATATCTTATAAACCGACAAAAAAGTTAACCATTCAACTTATGTTCACAACTATTTTTACATAAACTGAGAATCCCTTGCCAAAAATAGTTAGCATAGCTACTAAGATATCAGAGAGATCAATGCCAATGGCAAGAGAAAGTCGACAACCTCAGCATTCAGAGAAACGGGAGCATATCGACAGAGTTGCTTTTGTAGACTCAAACTGCGTGCTACAGTGTTTACTGTGTACCTAAGAAAAATAGATGAAATACATGGCATGAGCAGAAGAAATTATTAGAAACTCTTCCATGTATTAAGGTGATAATAAGCACACAATTTGCGTCTTTTGACAGAAAATTAGTACTGAGGTATCCAACACAGTGTTTTAGGTACTGATTTAACAATAAAAGGAAAGCTTTTCCAAAGCCGAAGAACATATTGCAGTATTAACAAAGATGAGGAACAAAAAGCATTGATTATCGTGCGGAACTTTTTTGCATACTCTCATAAGAAGTTTTTGCATGTTGAGTCAAATATTAAAGATGAAATCGTATGGAACCATGTAAATAAAAGAGTAAATATGTTCTCCAATCCACTTGTAAAAGAATTAGGGGCAAAACTAACTTCAAGTAGAATAATAGTCAAAAGATGGATTCCACAACAGTTGACAAAAGATGTGCTAACTAGCATAGTTGATATTACCATGAAAGAAACTGTTTAGCATACCTTTGCCTAATGACGTTGAAGAGTTGACCATAGTGTTCGTTTACATCATAGGGCACATAATCAGGATCTTCTTTGGCAAGGAAGCTTCTGTATTCCTCATACGAAATGTAATTAACAGCAGATACTTCTGTTTCCTATCATAAAAGGAAGGCACAAACAAGCATTCATATTTTCACAGTTTATTAGCAGTAACCAATTATTTGATATTCAAGTCTGAGATGTCAGACATACAACCCTCCTAGGAACCTTTGAATCAAATCGCAAGCAAACAGAATAAGCATGTGCTGCCGCATGTCAATAAATTTCAGGGATAAAACACCAATTGAAAAAGGGCAAACCTACAAAGAGTGCTAGAAAAAAGAAAACTCTCAAGCATAAACAAGCATTGATATTCTCACAATTGATTCCATCCAAAATAAATGAAGAGCTTGCTGCGTTAGATCAAACGTGAAGTAACACAAACCAACACTCATAGAGGGAGAAGGTAAAGTTATATCGATTCTTAACTGGTTGTGGTGATTCTTGTGAAGAAACAAAAGAAGGTTGTAATGACATTAGCATTATTTTCTTAGTGCAAGAAAGTTGAATTACGAAGACAATACATACATGCAGTTGTTTAAAGATTTTGCAAAAGTATGTTTATATTCATCCACAACCAATACAAGAGTCTCTAATATATTTAACTCAGTTAAAGAAGCATTACCAATGGACAAAAAATCAATTGAGAATAATAATCACAATTTTCCTTGCCTGAAGAGTAAATGCCTCAAGAGGAATTGGATCTACAGTTGTCACAAGATAAACATCATAAAACTCGTTATAGGTGAGTTTCCCATCATTTATAACACTGCATTCAAATGTCAAAGTACAAACAATTAATGCAAGTCTTGTTGCATTTTGCCCCCGGGCTATTTCACCAATTAATTTAATCGGTCCGGTCTCCATAGACCGAGTCTATACAACTCATAGTTAAAAAACTGATTTGCTGTATAGAAATACTAACCACTCTTGAAGAAAAGTAAAAATAGGTTCAAAAGCGTCTTTCGGGAGGCTAATCCCTAGCTCTTCCTGAAGCTCTCGCCTAAATGCATAACAATACTAATAATTAGTTTAATAAAAAAGCAAACAAACAATTAATTAGCCAAAATCAATAAAATAAAGCAGGAGAAACTGTTACAAATTGACTCACTGAGCGGATACAAGTGAAGAATCACCAGCAGAAATATGGCCAGCGCTTGAGACATCCCATTGGCCAGGCCATGAATCCTTACAATCGGCACGGCGTTGAAGAAGCAATTCTTGTGTGCTTTCTGCAAAAATCCACACGTGAACTGATCTGTGGTAATCTCCATCTCTATGAACTTCTCCTCTACATTTCCCGAAAATCAAATAAAATAACATAAACGATAAGAATTACAATTTCTTTTCTCAGCAACCAAACACCAAACAGAGTAACGGTCAAAAAGAAAATAAGAAAACCACTCTGTTTTAATTTTGGATTGCTAAATATCGATGAACTGTTGGAGTCAACGACGTCGCATTGGAGCGTAATTAGAGACATTAATTAGGTCTTTAATCAAAACAGAAGTAATAACAACATGACTAATTAAGACAGCGAGAGTGAGAGGAAGATGAGAAAATTAGGCTTGCCTGGGCTTGGAAATGCCGGTTTTTTGACCAGTTTTGGTCAGAACATCAAGGCGCTCTTCTTCTACTACTGCAGCAACGTCTGCCATTTTTTTCTTTCTTTGTCTGAGAGATACTTCTCTTGGGAGAATAAAAGGCTAACTTAGCTGTATCCTTTTAGGTGTTAGAAAAAAGAATAAATTCGAGTACTGCAACTATATCAGTATAGTACCTGCTGCCTGCGTTTTCTTCAGGCAATCCAGATTCTTTATATTTTAAGAATCAATTTGTTTTTTACCTGTGGTTTTTAAAACACCAATTTATAACCTGTTTAAATTAGATCAATTAGTTTATACTTAGATCAATTAATTTGTTTCATTCATTATTTATTTTTTGAATGCCTTCATTTGATTGCAGCTAATCCACTGTCTACTTGATGCTAGTTAGTAAATCCCATGCCCTATTAGTGCTATTTCTTTATGCTTTGTAACTTTAAGATATAAATCAGTTGGACGATATAATCGTGAAACTAGGTATTTTTTGCACACCATTTCTATTTTCTATGTGATGTGTATATCTAACCAAGTCATGCTCCAACAACTTTTCAAGAGTCCTTTCCTTTCAGCCATTCGCTAAGCTTCCGCTCCTTTTGCAGAACTTTGCTTCGCAAGATTATGATTGTCAAATTCTTGAAATTGTTCACGCACAATAGAATCTCCAACATGAATAGATCTGATTGATACTGATGTTTGTGTTTCCAGGTGTCTAGCCTTATCACAGAACTTGCTTCTGCAGCAGCTGCAGAAAAAGGAATAGTATTTGAAGAAGCTATTGAGGAACGATTATGTGCTTATGCACGTGCTGTTGCTCACTTCCCAACAGCTGTTAAGGCGGTACATGTTTCTCTTAATTTTAGCTTTTAAGCATTTAGCATAGTTTTAACGACTTGAGCCTACTTAGACCAAATAGTGGAGCGTTAACGGAGGATGAATTTGACCTTATTTTGTAGCACATCAATTGAAAAAAATAAAAAAAAATTGTAAGTTGCTTCTCGCTTAAAAGTCTCAACTTCTTGCAGTTTAAATGGAGGAATGGCTGGTTCTACTCTCTCTCCGAGAAGGCAGTTGCTGAAGAGAAACCTGATCCTTGTCCTTGTCCCCTACCCACGGCGCGGCTTAAAGAGCTGAATGTAGTGTAGGATATGAATTTTTACTGTCAATGGACTGGAATGCATGCCTCTCATAGTGCGAGCCTCTCTATGGGACTCACTGTTTTCTTTCCATAGTTTCTTTTTGCTTCTAACTTTTTTTTTTTTTTCTTTTTCATTTTCAAATTGACCTTGTCATAAATGTAGTCTAGGATATGAATTTTTCATTTTCTCGCTATTATTACTGCGTGAAATTACTTAATAGTGAGAGAATGGGCATCACCCCAAGACGAAGTATTAAAAAACCTAAAACAAAGAACACATTATCTGTCATTCAAAATTAGAGTAAATTATAAGTTAGTTTCTAGTTTTGAAAGACAAATTAATTCATTCTATCTCAAAAACTATTTATTTAATTATTATGTTCTCTCATTTGTTTTGTTTTTCTGTTTTCAAAAGAAACAAGAAAAAAATAGATATTATAAATAAATTGACAAGAAAAAAATATGTTTTTTGAAAGAAAATAATATTAAAATAAATATGATTGACATTAATCAATGAACTAAATAATTAATTTTTAAAACAAGATAGATTAGTTCAATCATTTCTTGAAATTAGGACTAATTTATAATTTTCTATTCAAACTTCTCTGTCTTTCTAAGTTTTTCGTTTTTTTTTTTTTTTTTTTTTAAAAAAGAAATCCAACTCTTATTTAGTTTTAATTTGTATTGTGGGCTCATAACATTTGGCTGGAATTAAAATAGACATCTTGAGATTTTCAGATTGGGTATAAATGCACAAATCCGTTTTGCTTACAAAGTTAAAGAAAGAAATTCGGATTGAAATAATAATAAAAATAATAATAATGGTTTTTTTTTTAAAAAAAAAAATTTGTCACCAACGTAAATGGAGGTGGTGCAAACACTCACTAGCAGCAGCTGCTGCTGCGTTTGATTTTATGTCGGTTTAAGGATTTGTTTTACTATATGATTTCTTCGGAAAAAAAAAAAAAACCTATCAGCTATGCAACGATAAGATTTTACACTAGACCTGAAAAGCATTCCCATGCGTTTCCTGACTGATCAATTTGAAATAAATATAACAATCTCTACTAATCTGCATCATAACAAGGATCGATTCAAACAACGAAAAAAATCAAGTCGTTCAAATTCACACAATAAGATAGCAATTTTGCTGAATTAATTTATGGAAACACTGAGGGTGCTATGGTATCGTTGTCCACTTATCGGCAGCCACTGATGAATCAGATTTGGCCAGACAACGAAGGGAAATCGGTCAAATACTGAGCGCTAACTTTGCTTTGCTATTTCATTAACAACGGAAAATTGGGGAGTTATATCCACAGGCACCTGAATGACACAGGGAAAATGGACAAAATGATGAGTAACAAGTACGCATTCCAGAAAACAGCCCTAGTTTTAGACAGCCTAGCTATTTTAGGTAGAAACATGTGCAGTGGGAACTAGTAGGGTTTCACAGAACATACCTGAACACTCTCTAATCTTTCCAGTGCGTTTTTTAATGGATGTGTCATTTTACAGTATTTCTGAAGCAGCGAATTTGCAGCCCCCTTGTCACCTTTTGCCTGTATGGTAAGTATCTCTCTACTCAAGCTTTCAACTGCCTCTTCAACCTTTCAAATTTAAACAGACTTTATGGTCTTATTCAGTCAGATAAATCCACGAACAAAGAAATTCAGAGCAACCATACCTTGGCAAAATCAACAGAAAATGTCTCATCGGAATGCAAAATGAAGGCTTCTTTCTCAAATAACCAGTTAAACTGCAGTGCTTGTCCTTTCCTAATGATTTTCAATAGATCCAGAACCATTAAGATTATGACAAACATTGAGTCAGAGAAGAATGATAAATTAGCTTACCCATGAGCTTCCTCTAAACCAAAACGAACTGAGCGGAAGCATCCCGTGAGGAATGAAACATACATAGATTTTTCCAGGCTCTTTGGAAGCAAATCCTGAGAGAATAAAAAAACAATCACGTAGTAAACCTTACAATAAAATCATAATAATAGCCAATCGCACCCCAAAAAACTCAACCATTACCTAGTTATTATCCCACTAAAGTGGGGGCCGGGGAAATCAACGACAACTAGAATACCGATCAGACAGCTATAAAACTATTCACAAATCAATTGCTATAATTCTTCTGCCAAACATAGGTCACCATTTGGAAGATGCAATCCCAGGATTCTAGGAAAACATATTACGAGATTTCTTGAAGTATCTGAAATACTTGAAGATATAGGTGCATTCCCAGGATTCTAGGAAAACATATTATGAGATTTCTTGATGCATCTGAAATACTTGAAGATACAGGTTGACTCAAGTCAAATTTGCATCAAACTCTTTTATTATTATTATTTTTTTTTGATATGTTACAAGCAATAGGATAAATCCACTACTTGAAACTGGCTGCACCAGCACCTAGCTCAACGAGGGCATTGATTTTTTGGGAAAAGCCCCATGCCTGATAGCCCACAGGAATTAGAAATTCACAACCCATCCAAAGGCAACAATTGAACCCAGGATGACCTCCCAATATCTATGCGAATTTTTAACCACCTGAGCAAACTCTTTGGCTGGACCTTATTTAGCCTCTGACTGAAAATCCAGACTACCTAATGAACACTTACAAATGTATCATTGGATGAATTTGAATTCAGCATCTCTGACATGAATCTAAAGTGGCACCGTGGCACATATATATTCAGTGTTTATATGCCACAGTATTAATTATATTTAGCCACTAACCTGGCTGATTAAGAACTTGAGGGCCCAAAGGCCAACTATATCGGCTTTAGCTTCTTCCAAAGCTGAGTGGAGTTCTTGCAGCTCCTGCATTAAAATATAAAAGAAAAAGCATGGACAATTAGAGCGGTTTCTACCAGAAAGCACATAAATTTAAACTGTACAACAACTCTCTCAAATGGAAGTATTGTTCTATTTCTTTTCCACTAAACTTATTTTGAACAGGTAACTAGGTGAAATAATGGCCAAGTCCTGGAAAATGATAAACTTTCATCAAAGAAATATTGTTGAAAAGACCACACAAGAGATAAGCTATAAGGTCAAAACAACTCTATCACTTACAAAAGTAATGGATTAAGGCAACTAAGCCACGAATGACGTAACTATGGAACTGGGAGAATTAATTAGTTAGATCATCACTTCCAGACACCTATATCTGAGAACATGGAAAGATCAAAGGAACTCTCAGCAAGGCCACTGCCCACGATGTCAAGGCTTCAGGTACATCTTGACAAATGGAAGATTCAGCTGAGGCAGAATTTCTACCAAATAAAAACGAAGAAAGGAATCTGAAATAAGAGACTATCACTGAGATTGTAGTAATTACACCAACCACACCTCTTCTTTTCAAAATTAAACAAGCCACCTTTTCATTAAGGAGAAAAAACTACAACTCACCAACACGAGCAGTTGGCACTCCTGATTGCAAGAAACAAGCATTCCACATTCAAATGCATAATGAAGCATCACAGAAATAACAAAGCTCCCAAGTTTTTGTTTCCCCCAAACCATCAAGCAGTATAAATTGAGGCTTATAAGTACTTTCTGTGAAGAACGACTCAATATAAAGCAAACTGTTTGGAATCAAACATAAGGTTGTAAAAACTAGAACATCAAATTGGAGGACTCAAGAAAGTGACCTAGTGTTCGCCGCTACAAGCTTTCTGCAAAGGCTAGTTTGCAATTGGTATGAGTTTTAGTATTAGTAGGAGATGGATTAAAAGAACATGCCACAAAACATAATTATGCAATATTTGTCTCATTTTCAACACAGTCAAACATGTGTAGAGGTTGAGATGCTTTCAGGTTATAAATGAGACAGAAGTAAGATCAGAAAATGCAAGTACACAAGAAATACATTCCAGCAACCCATATTAATATATCCTGTTTAAATTTCTGGTATGTTGCTCCAGTTAATTATCATCCAATTAAAACTTACAGTTATATAAATCGAAAGCCACTCTCCCATACTCAGCAGAAATAAAGACAAGACTTGGAGAAAATATATTGAAGAAGAGTGTAGCTACGTATAGATACCCTATCATCTAAAAGCATCTGAATGCAAGCCAATCCATAAATAATAGCAGTAGCATAAAAGAAAAGTTATGTAAATAACCTTTCTCACTGTAGACGTTTGGCCATCTGGAAGTTTGATAGTGTGAGGCCCAATACCATGGCAGCACTCGTGGCAGATAGTGTGTGTAAAGAAAGATTCAAAATCTACCAGTCCTTTTTGTTCCTTGCTAATACATGCTTGAGCTATGGGCTGAAGGATATGCTTGAACCTGATTAGGACAGGCATGTGATATTTAAATTATTTTCCAATGCTAATTATAAGATATTGTCAAAAAGCAACAAAAATATAACAGGTTTAAAAATCAGGGAAAGAAATTTTACTTTGCCTCTGAAACATTCTTAAGCATGACCATTGACGATCCTCGATCTTTTACTATACGTTCATCATTTGGTAAATTGAAAGCAACAGTCTGAGGACCCTTTACATCCTGGTGACAAATTAAAACCCATCAGCCTTAGTTCCACCCCAACCCACCCCGAAAAAGGTTCATATGTTTGAGGGTGGGGAGAAGACAACTCCAGCAAAAGTTTCCACAAAAAGTTGGTCTTAATGGACTGACAGAATTTTAGATCCCAGTCTTGTAAACGAGCTGGGTTCATGCCATAAATGAAAGTACAGAAGAGTAAACAACAAAAATCATTAAACTTTTTCTTATATATATTCCTTGAACCTACCCCTGCGTTATAAACAAGCTGGATGACCCGTATGGGAGCAGCATTGACATGTTTTGATTTGTATGTGTTGTCCATTGGAAGATTTTGCTCCAAAAACTAAATAGATATACTCTTTTGTTAGAAAGTATGAATCTAGAAAGAAAAGCTACAAGAAAATGAGGCACAATTTTGCATGTACAATGACTCAGTACCTGCAAATTATCACCAAAGAGTTTAAGTTGAGCTGTTGCTTTGTCATCCCGGACACCAATGAATGCTTCAAATGTCGCCTGACAAAACATAACAGAACTCATGAGTCATATATGCCACCTGCAGATTATGAATCTGTCAGGAAAGAATTTAAGATCAAAATATCATAAATGGAGTTTAATTAATGGCCTTAATCTTACACTACACAGGAGGTCATTAAAGTGGAGAAAAATGCTGCTTTATGTAAATGTTACCTTGTACCCGAAAATTGTATCCTCATACGTCTCATATGGACCTATGGTAACATCCAGCTTAGAGTCCTACATCCACAAACAGATTAATAAACATTACGAAAAGATGAGAATCTTAAGAATTTGAGCACCTTAACAGTAAAATAAAGATCTCACCCTTTCATTCATTTTGGAAAAACTCAAGTAAAACACAGTTGAAGTTGTTAAAAGTAAACTTTACAGCAACAACAATTATGGTTACATGAGAATAAAAATTTTGAAAATGAAGACTTCAATGGTTGAGCCCTTTCTTTTTCATGTTATCACATAATTTGTTTATTTGAAAGTGTAACGATCCAATTTCAAACATGGTTGGTTTTCATCTTTCCGTTGTAGGTATAGATCACTTTTGTGCTTTATTCCTAGCCTAAACTATTTCCTTTTTTCTAGAGGAACAAGAAGATAAATAAGGTACATTATGAAGACTACTAAGACCTCTAAAATGCAGCCGAATAGCAGAAGGTTCCAATTTTTTTTAGTTCATACAAGCTGCCTTTGACACAGTCAACTGAAATCAACATTGAAAAAGAAGACCTTGGTAGACATGGAGAAAGAAGACCTCAGTAGACTTCCAAGTGCCTCACTTGCTCCTTTCCTAATTCCACCAGCTTCCTCACTAAAAATCGAGTCATATAATAATACAGTCACAGTGCCCCTGATCGCAACTATGATTCAGCATCCATTGATGGTGTGATTATGGTGGGGAAGGCAAAGGTTTAGGCAGCAAGAAGGCATGCTAATATTTATAGAAGGATCACACCCCCAAAATCATATCTCTTGTTCACTATTGGAAAACTTGCTAATGCTAAACAATTTCGATAGAGCCCTTTATCCCAAACTAGAGTGGTGACGACAAGAAAAAAAAAAATGCAATAGATGTCATTCTAATCACCATATCCCTGAACCAAACACAACACGCAACTATGAGCGTTTTTTGGAATATCAAAAGTATTCTGTGTACTAACCAATTCCATCCAGGCTATATCCGATTCATAATAGTCATTTGAGAGGAATGCGTCAGCCTTGCCGTGCAGTAACCTCTTCAAACTACAAAGCACAACAAAGATTCAACAAACATCCATTAGCAGAATTGTATTCAGCATGATGAGAAGCAAATGAATTATTGAAAAAAAAATCTACTATCACTGTGCACCTAGGTGAGCCAGCCAAGTCCCCAGCTTCATGCAACAGTTCCGCAGCTTTTGAAAGATAGGAGTTATACTCCTTTGAGTAAGGAACACTATATAGATCAAGAGTACCCGCTAAATCATTTTTACCATGAACCACGTGATTAGGTAAAGAAGAGTCCAAACTCAATTCACTGTGTCTTTTGATGACAGTGAAAAAACTCGTTGCATCATTTTGTTGATTCTCTGGCAAACTGTCTGCCCACAATTCAAATTCCTATGACACAAGACAAACTTATTGGTACAGTAGGTGTAGAGGTAGAGAAATTTAAATGATGAAAAAAATACCAAACAATTGCATAGTCACAAAAATAGGACGTGGATCTTATTAAAAGTTTAACTTCTAATTGCAAAATGAGCCTCCCATCCTATACCATTTTGTCCATATCTGGAGGATAAAAATTTGCACCAGGTGGTTTTAGCATGGGAAATGCTGCTTTATATTCCAGACCCTTCCATCCACTGACTGCCTTCGTTGCTTGAGGAAGCAACTTGATGGCTGAATCTGCGGTTGTTAAAAATGCCTCATTTTCATCAAGACAGGACCTGTCAATAAACAATAAATTCTAATTGATGGACATTTCTAATCAAAAATACAAATATTTGGGGTATGGTGAATTTCGTAGCTTGTGCCAGCGTGCACACACCCATGCAGAGCTCAAAGGAGCAGCACCTAAAAAAAGAAAAAGACTTACCATGGGCTCTTATTAATCAAATAATACTTCCATTTTAGTTTGTCTAATTCTGATGCACCAGCATGCTCCTTCAACCAATTTCTTAGAGCTGGATTACTGTACCAAACCTGAGTAGAAGAGGGAAAAAAGGACAGAGGCACCACAAACGGTTAGTTACTGTTGCTAATTATTGGAAGCATCAATAGGATCATTGTATTGCATTTCCAAACAGACTAATTATCTGAATTTTGTAAGGAGAAACAAAACATGTAAAGTTATTCAACAAGACATTCACATTTCTTATATGACATTTCAGACACAAATATCGACTATTTCACACAGAGAAGATCCAATTGGAAAGAATTTGAGCAAGTTTCAACATTGCATGAAATCAGAAAGAAACCACCATTTTATTATGAGTACACACACAAAAATGTTTCATGAGTTAGTACTTTATGTAATGCCAAGTCATTTCTTTGAGGCTTAAGCCAAAGTTCTTTCTGCTCAGTTCCCTTCTGTGCACAATTGTCTAACAACATTCAAAGGCCTCAACCAGACCTTCCCATTGAGTAAATTACAGGACTTGGCTTTGTTTTCCTTAATCACCTTTGGCCTCCCCCCACCCCAAAAGAAAAGAAAAAAAAAGAAAGAGGATAATGTGGGATTTCTAGTTACCAATATGCATTACTTGAGCTAGAGAAACACTTTACTAACACATAGAGATCACAAAACAAAAAAATCCACTTTTATGGGGCATGTGCAGGGAATGTGCTTATATTCAAGCATGCACATAGAAAGACATATCTGTAAACCAGCAATTCTGCAGATTGCCTTCTTACACGGGTGCATCCATGTAGATTAGCAAGGGTAAATACCTGAAGGAAGAATATTTCATCCATAAGTTTTGCAGCCTTGATAAGTAAACCAAGAGCCTTCCTGTCTGCATCTGATAGACTTGACAACTGAAGAAACAAAACAAAGGAAAAAAAAGCACAGAATTCAATTCTATTTGCATTAAGAACCAAAAAAAAAAAAAAGGTTAAGAAAAAAGAATAGCAATTAGAATAATAGCATTCTAGATATCAGAATGACAGAAGTAAAAGTGCTATTAATTTCTTTGTTTAGCAAAATTGAAGCAACATTAATCATCAAAATATCTTAAAGATAATATACCAGCAAAATGCACCTCTTCAAGGAAATTATATTAAGAAATTTTCAGTTAGCAAAATGTAACACAGGAACAAGTTGAAGATACAAAAGCAATCTCAATCTAAGACCGAATACACAGACACAATAAATTTCAACTTAGAAACTTCACATATTCCCTTTGCATCTACTTTGCCAATCATGTCCCATGTTCCACTTTCAGCCTAGCATTATTAATAGAAACAGACATTAGGTAATGGCTGTCATATTTGTCTGGGACGATCAGTAACCGTGAGAGGCAAAGGTAGGAGCCTCCTTTTCTATTGCATTCTGTCTTTGTTGTCTCTCAAATTGAATAATCCCCCATTTCTAGTTTTCATACATGGATGGGACATGGAAGTTATATCTAGATGATGATGCATGGGTCAGATCCAATATGTGCCCTTCTTGATCACAATTGCTAAAGAGGCAGCCTCCAATTACTCGATAATTTCCACATATTCAACTTTTCATAGGCCCAAAAATCTTTCACAGAGTAACCCCTTCCTTTTTTCGACAGTTTTTATCCTTTCAGAAAGAAAGAAAATATTATAAACTGACAAACATGTTAACCATTCAACTTATGTTCACAACTATTTTTACATAAACTGAGAATCCTTTGCCAAAAATAGTTAGCATAGCTACTAAGATATCAGAGAGATCAATGCCAATGGCAAGAGAAAGTCGACAACCTCCGCAGTCAGAGAAACAGGAGCATATCGACAGAGTTGCTTTTGTAGACTCAAACTGCGTGCTACAGTGTTTACTTTGTACCTAAGAAAAATAGATGAAATACATGGCATGAGCAGAAGAAATTATTAGAAACTCTTCCGTGTATTAAGGTGATAATATGCACACAATTTGCATCTTTTGACAGAAAATTAGTACAAAGGTACCAACACAGTGTTTTATTCACCGATTTAACAACAGAAGGAAAGCTTTTCCAAAGCAAAAGAACATATTGCAGTACTAACAAAGATGAGGAACAAAAAGCATTGATTATTCTGCAGAACTTTTTTGCATACTCTCATAAGAAGTTTTGCAGTTGAGTCAAATATTAAAGATGAAATCATACGTAACCATGTAAATAAAGAGTAAACATGTTCTCCAATCCACTTAATTGTAAAAGAATTTGGGCCAAAATCAACTTCAAGTAGAATAATAGTCATTAGATGGATTCCACTGCAGTGGACCAAAGATGTGCTAACTAGCATAGTAGATATTACTATGAAAGAAACTGTTTAGCATACCTTTGCCTAATGACGTTGAAGAGTTGACCATACTGTTCGTTTACATCATAGGGCACATAATCAGGATCTTCTTTGGCAAGGAAGCTTCTGTATTCCTCATACGAAATGTATTTAACAGCAGATACTTCTGTTTCCTATCATAAAAGGAAGGCACAAACAAGCATTCATATTTTCACAGTTTATTAGCAGTAACCAATTATTTGATATTCAAGTCTGAGATGTCAGACATACAACCCTCCTAGGAACCTTTGAATCAAATCGCAAGCAAACATAATAAGCATGTGCTGCCGCATGTCAATAAATTTCAGGGATAAAACACCAATTGAAAAAGGGCAAACCTACAAAGAGTGCTAGAAAAAAGAAAACTCTCAAGCATAAACAAGCATTGATATTCTCAAAATTGATTCTTATCCAAAATAAATGACGAGCTTGCTGTGTTAGATCAAACGTGTAGTAACACAAACCAACCCTCGTTTAAGGAGAAGGAAAAGTTATATCAATTCTTAACTAGTTATGGTGATTCTTATGAAGAAACAAAAGAAGGTTGTAATGACATTAGCATTATTTTCTTACTCAGTGTAAGAAAGTTGAATTACAAAGACAATACACATATACAGTTGTTTACAGGTTTTGCAAAAGTAGGTTTATATTCATCCACAACCAATACAAGTCTCTAATATATTTAACTCACTTTAAAGAAGCATTACCAAATGGATAAAAAATCAATTGAGAATAATAATCACAATTTTCTTTACCTGAAGAGTAAATGCTTCAAGAGGAATTGGATCTACAGTTGTCACAAGATACACATCATTAAACTCGTTATTGATGAATTTCCCATCATTTATAACACTGCATTCAAATGTCAAAGTACAAACAATTAATGCAAGTCTTGTTGCATTTTGGCCCCGGTCTATTGCACCAATTAATTTAATCGGGCCGGTCTCCATAGACCAAGTCTATACAACTCATAGTTAAACAACTGATTTGATGTATTGAAATACTAACCACTCCTGAAGAAAAATAAAAATAGGTTCAAAAGCGTCTTTCGGGAGGCTAATCCCTAACTCTTCCTGAAGCTCTCGCCTAAATGCATAACAATACTAATAATTAGTTTAATAAAAAAGCAAAAAAACAATTAATCAGCCAAAATCTATAAAATAAAGCAGGAGAAACTGTTACAAATTGACTCACTGAGCGGATACAAGTGAAGAATCACCAGCAGAAATATGGCCAGCGCTTGAGACATCCCATTGGCCAGGCCATGAATCCTTACAATCGGCACGGCGTTGAAGAAGCAATTCTTGTGTGCTTTCTGCAAAAATCCACACGTGAACTGCTCTGTGGTAATCTCCATCTCTATGAACTTCTCCTCTACATTTCCCGAAAATCAAATAAAATAACATAAACGATGAGAATTACAATTTCTTTTCTCAGCAACCAAACACCAAACAGAGTAACGGTCAAAAAGAAAATAAAAAAACCACTCTGTTTTAATTTTGGATTGCTAAATATCTATGAACTGGTGGAGTCAACGACGTCGTATTGGAGCGTAATTAGAGACATTAATTAGGTCTTTAATCAAAACAGAAGTAATAACAACATGATTAATTAGGACAGAGAGATAGAGAGAGGAAGAAGAGAAAATTAGGCTTGCCTGGGCTTGGAAATGCCGGTTTTTTGACCGGTTTTTGTGAGAACATCAAGGCGCTCTTCTTCTACTACTGCAGCAACGTCTGCCATTTTTTTCTTTCTTTATCTGAGAGATATTTCTCTTGGGAGAATAGAAGGCTAACTTAGCTGTATCCTTTTTGTTGTTCGAAAAAAGAATAAATTCGAGTCCTATATACTATATCAGTATAATGCCTGCTGCCTGCTTTTTCTTCGGGCAATCCAGATTCTTTACATTTTAAAAATCAATTTGTTTTTCACCTGTGCTTTTTAAAACACCAATTTATAACCTGTAACTAAAATTTGTTATGAATTGTGGGTGACGATAGGATTATAACTCTGTAAATATAGTTACTATTGTTATGGTTTTCACTTAGTAGTTAATGTGATATGCTAAGATGACATTCAGTTAAAAATAATCAATAATGAGTGTAACTAAGGGGTGAGCTGGCATTATTATTAGTTACATACTTGGAGGAACAAATAAATAATAAAGCAAAACGTGTGGAGGATATCAGCGAAGAGAAAAGAAATCAAATTGCAATTTTCTTCTCTCTCTCTCTCTTCAAAATCTTCATCGCTAAACGAATAACACTTAACAAATTGGTACGAGAGCTGCTCTAGGACTGGTGAAACTTCAATCATGGTGGATAACAATCGGATTAGAGCATTGGAAGATCATGACACGAAACAAAAGGAATGAATTCAAATCTTATAGCAAGAATTTCATGAGAATATGAAAGCTATGAACAAACGCATGGAACGTCAGGCAGAGCAAACATAGCTTCAATTTAAAGCTCTATTTTAAGTCAATCTAGTCATTAATGGTAGAGAAAGAACCTGTAAGAGAACCACGGGCAGCTTCTACTTCTTCATAGGAAGCAAGTCAAGCTCCAAGACCTACATATGTTGTGACTCACGGTGAACCTTTTGTTGAATCTTGAATTTCTGAAATTTACCTACAATTCATCAATACCTAAGGTTGAGTTGCATTTGTTTTGGGGGAGACTCCAAGAGGTTGGATAAGAAAAAGCAGAAAATTTTTTAAGATGAATTTTAAACTAATTCATCAATAGGTGAAAATATTTTCGATGAATTCGAAAAGGCGAGCAAAGATTTGGTTCGAAGGTTTTGTGGTTGGAAGTGATTTAGGCAATTAGAAGGAGTTTGTAAGAGAGCTGTGTAAAAGGTTTGCGAATAGAGAAGATGTAGTAGAGGATTTCAATAAGCTAAATCAAGAGAAAAAAGTTAATGAATATGTAGAGAGATTTGAGAAATTAAAATCCATGATGACTATAAACAACTCACACCAACCTGAATTATACTCCATCTTTAGCTTTATTAGCAAAATTAAAAAAGATATCAAATCCATGTTAAAAGATCCTGCAGCCGACCACATTAACACAAGCTTTTGACCAGGCAAAATGGCATGAAGAAACTTCTACTGCCATGTCAAAAAAGCCAAGTAACCACCAAGATTTTTTTTCCTATTTACAGTACCCTTAAATGATAAACTATTCATGCAAACCAACCTCACAAACCTTATATTCCTACCAAACCTTACATTTCTACAAAAAATGAACGGGAGTCTGACGAGTTTATGGATATGGAAGAGGACAAGGAAGGGGGTGTGGAACTAGATGGAAGAACCTTAGAAGAGTGTGGCAAATCATTTCATGCTTTGGCGGCAAAGTATGCTAATAATACCATCCAGATCAAGGGGAGTTATTTGCAAATAATCATCCTCGTTGATAGTGGCAACATGCACAACTTCATTGATCACAAAGTTCTACAGAAGATAGAAGCTATGATTGAGCACACTACTTCTCTTTCAGTGATAGTTGCTAATGGGGATGTAATGAAGTGCTAAGCTAGGCGTCCAGGACTGGTTTAGTTTATGCAAGGGCATGAATTCAAGGCTGATTTGATAATTTTAGACTGGAAGTTATGATATGATGTTAAAGGTTAATTGATTTAGGATGTACTCTCTTGTGCTATTTGATTTTGTGGATATGAAACTATCATTTAAGAAAGACGACAAGAGGATTGAGTTAAAAGATACCTTAGAAGAAGCAAAACTTCAGCAGATAGCCGTAACCAAAATCCATAAGACTTTGAGTACATTAGTTTATGGACTAATGGGATAATTTTTCTTTGTGACAACTTATGTTAAACTAAAAAAAAGTGTTTGACAAGGAGATAAAAGCCTTACTACTCAAATATGAGGGAGTCTTTGTTACTCCAAAGAACTTGTTTCTAATAAGGAGATTTGATCACAAAATACCATTGATATCAATTGCCAAACCTATAAATATTCAACCTTACATAAGTTCATATGTACATAAGGAAAAGATTGAAAAAATGGTGAAGGAGATGCAACAAAATGGAGTTATATAATCCAACCGAGTCCATTTGCATCTTCGGTGCTTTTTGTCAAGAAAAAGACAGGACTTTGAGGTTTTATATAGATTACCGCTAACTCAACAGTATCACCATCAAGAATAAGTTCCTCATACCTTTGATTGACGATCTCCTAGATGAGTTATAAGGCTCTCACTTATTCTCCAAAATTGATTTGGGCTCGGGATATCATCAAGTGAGGATGAATGATATAGATGTAGAAAAAACAACCTTTAAAACTTATCAAGGGCATTATGAGTTTAAGGTGATGCCCTTCAGAGTTGACTAATGCTCTAGCAACCTTTCAAGCTATGATGAATTTAATTTTAGAACCTATTTGAGGAAGTTTGTTACGGTATTCTATGATGACATCCTAGTTTACAACCCTATATTAGAGTCATACGTATAACATCTTACGAGAGTATTGGAAGTTTTACTACGAAACAAACTATATGCGAAGAGGTCCAAGTGTTCATTCCGCTAGTCTAAAATAGAGTATCCTAGCCATATTATATTTGGAGCTAGAGTAGCTTCGACACAAAAAAGATAAAAGCTATCGACGAGTTGTCCAATTCTTAAGTCTATACAAGAATTGAAGAGGTTCTTAGGATTGGCTAGCTATTATAGAAATTTCATTAAAAGTTATGGTATTGTTAGTAAGCCTTTAACTACAATGCTAAAGAAGAATGACTTCTAGTGTAACAAGCAAGCTTAACAAGCTTTTGAGCAATTAAAGACTATGTTATGTCATACTCGTTATGCTAGCCTTGTCTTATTTTCATAAACCATTTGTGCTGAAAATAGACACTCGTGAAAGTGGCAAAGGGTTGTTTTGTCTCAAAAAGGGAGACCCTTATGCATGACATATATATATTTATATGTGTGTATGTGTATACATACATACATATACCCACACATAGGTATGTGTATATATATATATATATATATATATATATATATATGGAGCTAGAGTAGCTACCGACCCAAAAAAGACAAAAGCTATTAGCAATCGGCCAATTCTTAAGTCCGTACAAAAATTGAACGTTCTTAGGATTGGCTAGCTATTATAAAAATTTCACTAGAAATTATGGTATTGTTAGTAAGCCCTTAGCTATACTTGCTAAAGAAGAATGGCTTCAGTGGAACAAGCAAGCTCAATAAGCTTTTGAGCAATTAAAGACTATACTTGTATAATACTTTTATGCCAACCTTGCCTAATTTTCACGAACCATTTATGCTAGAAATAGATGCTTGTGAGAGTGGCATAAAGGTTGTTTTGTCTCAGAAGGGAGACCTTTTATAACGATTGAGCATGATATATAGACACATACACATGCACGCACACACACACACACACACGGATATATGTGTGTGCGCATGCGTGTATGTATGATTCACTTGATGTTTTATGTTTATATTTGCATTATCGAAAATAGCTATATCATGACATGCTAGTTTACGTCGATGAAAACCATCAAGTCATGACTTGCAATTTTCATTAACAATTTTCATGTCTTATTATATGCTTCATTTTTTATTGTTATGCCTTATTTTCCCTTAATATTATGTGTATTGCTTATATGTGATTATAACACCTCCAACCTAGGACTTAATTGGTTGAGAATTTTTACGTCGTTAAGCCACATTCGAAGTGCAATGAATGTAAGCTAAAAAGGTACTATGATCTTTCTATAACTTATTTAGGTAAATTTACACTCGTAAAAGTCCTTTACTAATGATTAGGTCCTATACTTTAATTAAAAAGTCATTATAAATTTTTCCTATCTAATTGATTTATTCACATTCTTTAAACTACCTTATCGGCTTCATGACTCTTCATTGATTTAATTCCTTTCTCAACTAACTCGTTATGATTGATTTATATATAATTCCTTTTTATAAATATTATTATATTGCTTACTTTTTTTCTATTTATTACTCTTTTTTTACTTAATGAATGTTTAGGAACTTAGTCGAACTATTTAATGGCACTAGCATGCGAGTGGATAATTTAAACTAACTATACTACTATCATTACTCTATCATTTTATTATTAGTGATTTGATTATATATATTCACTATTTACTTAGAATATCAGTTTTATGTCAACTACTATAAAATTGGCTTATTTATTACCATATCATGGCTTGCTCCTACCCTTTCATTTATCGGTTCATAGCTTTAACTATTATATAAAAGAACACAACCATTACTATAAAGTAAACTAAAATACCCAGTATAACTAGAACCATTATGTGTATTAGATCCATACGCCAACCATATCTCATATATATGTGACGGATGCCATACTTGGTAGTCGGCTCAAATGTCGTGAATACTATCTTTACTCGTATTATCTACATCACAAGCATATTAGTGAGCGACAACTCGGTAAGTTAATCGATAAATGTAGTGTATATATATGCATGTATAAAAGATGGTTATATGCATAATAAATTTTCTTTTTCCTCACGTTGTTAACATTTCATAAAACAGATCGAAATTCCTTTTTCTATCTTTGGACATATTCCATTTAGGCATTTTAGGGTTTTCATAATATATATCTTGTGAACCGGACTCGTTCATGGATGACCCTATTGAACCTTTAAAAGTACACGCTCGTACTTGCCTAATCTCGAACCATTGCTATTTCTATATGAAAAACCCATAAA